GCCGCCAGCCAGGAGGCGACCCAGGGTGCATCACCGGGAGCTGGGGCCCTCTGGCGGCCGCCGCCTGTGCGCGGCAGGTACCCTGAGTGGCAGCAGGGCGGGCGCCAGCGGCCCCAGCCGCGGGGAGCCCGTAGTGTTAGGCGCCAGCCCGAGTGCCAGCGCAAGGCAGGACCTCGAGAGGTGCCTACCAGTCAGAAGCCCCAAGAGAAGGCGAGGCAAGGAGGATGGCGACTGCTCGTCGCAAGCGCAGGGAACGAGGAACGATGAGGGGCGGCAGCTGATCGCTGCAAATACACGGAAGAACAGATGGGAGGCGATGGCGAACCCCAGGAGCAGCTGATCGCTGCACAAAAATGGACATTGGAACCGAATACAAGAGAACACCAGGAAACAAGGACAAGTGATGGGGGGAGGCAGAGAGACGTAGCTCCAGAAGGTGCGGAGGCTGATCGCTGCAAACGCACGAGAAGAAGACCCCAGGACACACGGCCAGGCTGGTGGGGATATTTTTTTGATCGCGACCGCGGCGAGAGCTGGTGGGGATATTTTTTTGTCAGCGGCCGCAGGCGAGAGCGCCAGCGGCGAGTCCAGTCAGAGCGGGGCGCGCACAGACGAATTAACCTAAAACGGCGGGGCGCTGGTGGGGATACTTTTTAGTCAGCGGCCGCGGGCGAGCGCGCCAGCGGCGAGTCAGGTCAAAGCGGGCTACGCAAAGACCAAGTAGGCAGAGGCGGCGCGCAAGGCTACAGCTAACGCGGCAAGCCGAGGCCTCACGCAGCGGCCCAGCGGCAGGTGGGTGGCAGGAGGAAGTGAAACTGAGTGGAACTGCCAGCGTGCAAAGATGCAGGTCCGTCGAAGGCGCCAGAAGTCGGGACACAAACGACCACCAGGGACAACTCCGAGAGATAATGCATGAGACCGAACCTCATGCAGCTGCGTGGGCACCGGGGTGGCCGCGGCCAACGAACCGCCAGTCGAGGTGGGAATGAAAAGTGCAAAGGCGAGGCCCCGGACGTCGGCGTGAGCGCGAGAAACAGGGTGGTCCGAAGGACCGTCGGCCAAAAAATTGACGCCACGAGGCGAGCGCATCGGCAGGCTGCAACTCCCAGGGTGGCGCAAGCCGAGAGACCCCGAGGCAGCCGTACGCACGCGTGCGGGAAGCGGCATAGCCGCGACGCAGCCAAAATGGCGCGGGTCACCACGCACCAGTGCGTGAGGTGGTGTCGGGTTGACCCAACACGAGCCCGAACGGGCACCACGCACAGGGCTGACACACAAAGTGACGACAAGCGGAAAGGGCACCTCGGGCAAGCACGCTGGTGGGGATACTTTTTTGGTCAGCGGGCTGACGCGTAAAGTTGTCGCCTGGAGGGGGGTCCGGGGCACGGTCCTGCCTGATGAACTACCGAGCCACGCGCGAGACGGCCGGGCCTCTGGTGGGGATACGCGAAGCGTCAAGAATTTACCTTTACGTCTTTGACTGGCAATTTCTGTTCATTTGGGCCTCGGGTGGCCTCTGGGTTGGCATGGGCGCTCGGCCGCTACTCTTCGCAGGCACAAATCCCACCAAAGGTACAAATCAAGTGAAAATAGAGAAACAGCATGAAAAAACTAAGCTTCCCAAACCCACCAAGAATGTACATGCCGTTTGTGTGGGGGGACGTGGCCAGCGGGAATGCCTGCGCTGGCCCTCAAGTGGCCGCAACACCTTCCCTACCCGAAACGCGTGCCCGTCCCAACCTCTTTGCTGAGAGGCAGCGATACGGGTGGACTGGCATAGGGGGGAGATGCATCGACCTGGAATCAGCGAGACATCGCCGATAGATCCGCGATGGGTCTCCGATCGTGAATCCGCACCTTCCTGGGCAGGTTGGGGCTATCCAGCCCCTCTCGGCGATCCATGGGCGATTGGGGGTCGATGCTCCCCCCCCCTATGCCCATCCCCCCCGACCGCTGCCCCTGATTTACGCCTCAGATCTCAGCGGCTCGCCAAGCAGAAATCGAGGCGTCCGGTTTTGGGCCACCCATAGGGGCCTCTTCTGCAGCAGCCAGGCCCGGGCCCCGGGGCCGGCACACGGCGAGGCAGCTCGGAAGGCAGGGCAGGGCCCCTGGGGGAAGGCGCCGAGCGCTCCGGGGGCCGTGCCCCGACAGAGCGCACTTCGGCGGCGAGCGAGGGGGGGAACTGAGGAGGAGGAGGAGGCTGTCTCAAAAGGTTCGGAAGCACCCCGGCCTTCGAAGAAATGTTCTAAGCCTTCCCCGAAGACACGGAACGCTTCTCAGAGGGCGCGGGGGCTTCTGAGAAGTCCGGCCGCCTTCTGAGGAGGTCCTCTCCTTCTCATTTACCCCCCTCGCTCGCCGCCGAGCACTTCCATTCCTGGCACGCTCACGCCGGCCACAGAGTTGTCAAGAAGATTGGGCGCCCGAGGCACGAATGGGTTGGGCACGTCGCCAAGCACGCTGCGACAGGAGAGAGCATTCCCTGCGAGTCAGGCTGGAGGGCCGGTCTGAGCGGGCATCGCACGTCTTAGCTGCGTCTGCTCGCCTTTCTGCGTAAGGCTTGCGAGTGGGTGAGAACGAGTGCTCCGACAAGAGGTCGAGCCGCCGGCATGCGAGGTGTTGCTCACGACGGTCGAGGCGGATCGGGGATCGAGGATTTCTGTAGTGTAGCACCAGCGTAGCGCGGAGGGGGGCGAGATCACCCCAAAGGGCGTGGGGAGAGGCTGGCCGAACGTGCCCCACAAGCATGCTGCAGCAGTCGGGCCTGCAGGCTGTCTTTCACAGCTTCGAATCCAACGAGGCTTATGTTTTTTCCCAACCGTCCTGTGGTGTTGGGTCCTCGTTTTGAGGAGACAGTCCCCGCGTCTCCTCCTCTCCTCCTCCTCCTCCTCCTCCTCCTCCTCCTCCTCCTCCTCATCCTCCTCCTCCTCCTCCTCCTCCTCCTCCTCCTCCTCGTCCTCCTCCTCCCCCTCCTCTCTCCTCCCGTCACCCCCCTCCACGTTTCGCGGCCGCACAGGGAGCTCCGCCGAAGGCCCCAGTGGCTGCGTTCGCATGGCGCCCCCCTCCATTTGGCACACCCCTCACACGTTTCGTGGCAGCACAAAGAGCTCCACCGAAAGCCCCAGTGGCATGGTTCGAATACTCCCACCCCTCCTCTTTGACACACCCCTCACACGTTTCGTTGCCCCATAGGGAGCTCCACCGAAGGGCCCTGTGGCGTGGTTCGCATGCCGCCGTTTCGTGGCCCCACAGGGAGCTCCGCCGAAGACCCCAGTGGCATGGCTCGCATGCCGCCCCCTCCTTCGCTTTGACACACCTCTGACACGCTTCGTGGCCCCACAGGGAGCTCCACCGAAGGCCCCAGTGGCATGGTTCGTATGCCGCCCCCCTCCATTTTGGCACATCCCCCACACGTTCAGTGGCAACACAGGGAGCTCCACCGAAGACCCCAGCAGCATGTATTGCATGCCGCCCCCCTCCACTGTGGCACACCCCGCATACGTTTCGTGACCCATAGGGAGCTCCACCGAGGGCCCCAGAGGCAGCGCCCGCACGGCGGCCCCGCCCCATTGCGGCGCACCTCTCGCGCGCTTCGTGGCCCCACAGGCAACTCCACCGGAGGCAGCTCTCACAACGGCGGCAATCACGACTGCACATGGCTGGGTCCTTCGATCGGATCCTTTTGGCAAGCAGGTGCAACCACCTCACGGAGTGCAAGGCCTATCCCCCGCGAGGGCAGTCACCTGAACCACAGAGCGGCTGTCCAGCCCAGCGTCCAGGGTGGTGCAGGGTCCCGAGAGGGAGGCCCCCCACACAGAGACCCTGGGCAGCAGACGCCACATCGGCCCGAGGTATCGCCGAGAGTGTCTGCACGACTCTGAGCAAGAGGCACGGGGTCGTCCCCCTCGCGAAGCGCGTCCACTACGCCGCCGCAGGGACTGCAGAGGTCCCTCGGGCGTGGCCGAAGCGGCCTGGCGAAGAGGACGAGGAGGAACATTGGCGCTCTTGACCTTTCTGGAAGCGGGCCTCGGGGACATCCGGGGGCCAAGCTCTGGGGCAGAAGCAAAACTTCCCGCCTGCTCCTGGCGCGCAGGCGCGTCTTGTCTGCAGCCGCGTCGTCAAGGTCGTCGCCTGCGTCGTCGTCGGCGTCATTCACACGAGCGCGCGTGTGCGTACACGCAGTCTGCTATCATTTCCCGTGTGCTGCCGCTCCTCCAGCTCCTCCTCCTGCTCCTCCCCCTCCTCCTCCTCCTCCTGCTCCTCCTCCTGCTCCTCCTCCATTTCCACCTCCTCCTCCTCCTCCTCCTCCTCCTCCTCCTCCTCCTCCACCCCCTCCTCCTTCTCCCTCTCTCTCTCCCTCTCCCTCTCCCTCTCCCTCTCCTCTTCCTCCTCCTCCTCCTCCTCCTCCTCCTCCTCCTCCTCCTCCTCGTCCTGCTCCTCCTCCTCCTCCTCATCCTCCTCCTCCTCCTCTTCCGCCTCCTCATTCGGCTCATCCGCCTCTTCCTTCCCTTCATGCCGCTCCCCGTCCTCATCCTGCTCCTGCTCCTCTTGCCTCGGCTCCTCCTCCTCCTCCTGCTCCTCCTCGTCCTCCTTCTCCTGCTCCTCCTCCTCTTCCGCTGGCCCCGGATCCTCCTCCTCCTTCTCCTCCTCCTCCTCCTCCTCCTCCTCCTGCTCCTCTTCCTCCTACTCCTCCTCCTCCTCCCCATCCTCCTGCTTACCAATGAAATCGGAGGCCCCACCCCACTTTAAAGCAACTTTGAACTCATTTGGAAGGCTATGCCTCGATCCGCACCCTCGCGTAGTGCACGCCTGTAATGACGCTGCGCAGACTGCGCATTCACTCCTGGCTGAGAACGTGCGTGAAACTTTCGATTATTCCCGCGCCATTCACTCACCGATTCCGCTTTTGCCCCCTCCCTACTTGAGCCCACTGCCATTGTTACCGTTCGCCCTGCCGCGGCGAAGATGTCACCGGATCCCACGGCCGAGTTGACAACAGACTTTCCGCAAGAAAACATGCATTAAACGAGTTGTCTGTGTATAAAGAAGAAAACAACTTTATTCGAACAAATCACTAGTACAGCTATCTTGAAGGAGCGAGCGTGTATGAATTATTCGTCTCCGAAGACGAACGTCTCATATACATATCTGTATATATACCGATTGGGGGAATGCTCGTTTGTTTCCGTTCCTGGCCCGATTGGACATACATAAATACATATACATATATACATACATATATATATATATATATATATATGTATATATGTATATGTATACACAAGTTCAGGGAAACCACGTCGACACTCTGTCGCGTGGCCTTGGAAGAGCAATGCGCGCAGAGATGGCCATGATACCAAACGACCAACTTGGTCGAAATATACTGAGGCTCGCTCGCAACACCACCCGGGACTTGCGAAAGGAAACCAAGACACGGGCATAAACAAGCCGCGCAGCGGCGGCCACTGTATCAGACGCCTGACTTGGTCGAAATATACCGAGGTTCACTTGCAGACTTGCAACACCACCCGGGACTTGCGAAATAAAACCAAGACACGGGCAGATACAAGCAGTCGGTGCACCGCCTCCGAATCAAGAGACGGCCGACGGCCTTGAGCATCAGTGAGGCAAGACAGCTCTAAATTCTCGAGGGCGGGGCCGGGCCTCGGATTCGACTGGTGACCTCGTGCTCATTCTGCCCCCCCCGGAGATCAGCCGTCGCAACAAACATTGCAAGATCGCAGAAGATCACGACCGGAGCCCGGGGGACCCCACCTTTCTGCGTCACTTCTCGAGCTGGATCGATCTGCGAGGGCCCTGGGGCCCGAAGTGGAGCGAACACGCCCTTCGTGAAGAAAAACTGCAGAGCCAGGACCTCAGGGCGTCCCTGATCCGAGAGGGCCTTCTCCTTCTCACTTCCCCCCTCGCTCGCCGCCGAGGTTAGCGTCTGAAGCTGAGCGACAACGCCCGTCGTGAAAAAACTGCAGCGCCAGGATTCGGCGGTGGACAAACCTTCCTTCAATAAACCTCCCTTTGGCGAAAACAGCCTCTAGGACCGACGCCGACAGACCTGGACCCGCAAAAAGTGACGGCCGCGACGCCCTCTTGCGAAGCGAAAACGGCCAATTCGCTAATCGACGTGTCAGGGTAGGAGGTCGATCAACCTCCGAGAGGAGGATGAGGAGGAGGAGGAGGAAGAGGAGGAGGAGAAGGTGGAGGAGGAGGAGGAGGCGAAGGAGGAGGAGGAGGAGGACGAGGAGAAGCGAGGAGCGAGGAGGAGCAGCGAGGAGGAGGAGGAGGAGGAGGAGGAGGAGGAGGAGGAGGAGGTCCATGGGCCTCCGGAGGAGCTCAGGGCCTGCCTCGGGCGAGCTCGCCCGGCCGCCCCGCCCCGCCCGGGGGGGCGCCTCGCGCAGGCGCCTCGCCAGGGTGTCGAGCGACGTCGCGTGCGACCAGCGCGCCACGGCCTGCCCCGCCCGCCCGGGGGGCCCCCTGCGCGCGGGGCGGGCACGCCCACGCCCACGCCTGTGGCGGCCCAGGGGCAGGCAGCAGCAGGTCGGGCAGGTCCCCCTGCAGGCGGCTCCTGGCGGGAAAAACTGCAGCGCAGTAAAATAAAACAGGAAAGCTCCAAAAGGACCAGCAAGGGTCAAACAATCGTCCCCAGACTAGTGTTGACTATTGCGGTATATAAATATATATACACATACTTACTTACTTACTTACTTACTGTCTTACTTACTTACTTTCTTACTTACTTACTTAGTTACTTACTTACTTACTTACATACATACATACATACCGCCTGTAGAGGGACATGCCCGACTGAAGCCCCTGCGTGAGCGGCAGGCACGCCCACGCCCAGGCCCTCGCGGCCCAGGGGCAGTCGGCATCGCATCGGGCAACCGGATCTGATGGGCAACTGTTCCACCATCGCTACCATATGTAGGACGGGGGAGAAGGGAGGACGAGGAGGTCCTCCTGCTCCTCCTCCTCCTCCTCCTCCTCCTCCTCCTCTTCCTCTTCTTCTTCTGATTATTATTCTTATGTTTCTTCTTATTCCTCTTATGCTTAGTATTATTAGTATTACTCGTATTCTCCTTGGTCTTCTTATTCGTCTTCTTCTTCTTCTTCCTCCTCCTCCTCCTCCTCCTCCTCCTCCTCCTCCCTCTCCTACCTATGGTAGCGGGGCTGGAAAATTTGCCCATCAGAATCGGCTCGCAACGTGCACCGCAATGTGCATCGCATCGGGCCGCTTCGCCTCGGAGACGGAATCGCATCGCATCGGCGGCGCCGGGAACAACGACAGCGCCACGCAAGCATCGGGCCGCAGCGGCCCGCCTGAACATCGAAGTCGAATCGAACGGTGCCGGCCAGAGCCGATGTCGCATCGGATCGATGGGATCGAGATGGACCCTGCGGTTTGGGTCCAGTGGCGCTATCGCGTGAATAATTACGCCGTCGCATGGACACGCTCCGAGCGGGGCATCCGCAGAGGAAAGAAGCCCGTGTGCATGGTCGGGGCCCTGGCCCGCGAGGCCGTGGTGTGGGACAACTTCCCGCCCACCGACCTCCGCTTGGCCTGCCGCATGCAGGCGAAGGAGGCGTGCACGAGGACGCCAACGGAGCACGACAACCAATCCCAACCAGCCCACTCCTCCTCCTCCTCCTCCTCCTCCTCCTCTTCCTCCTCCTCCTCGCCTTGAGAGAGGGCAAACGTGTGTACGTGCCTAGGCTCCCTAAACCACGAAGCAAGCTAGAAAGAGGATGCCGTAGACCTTATATGTGATCGGGGTCAAGACGACAGGGCAGCCAGGCGTGGCCGCCTGCGTCTGCAAATCCTTTTCGAGATGCCAATGGCCCGAGCCGCAATATCTGTGTGCAGACTTTGGCTTGCGTCTGGCAACCTGCCTCAACCATGTCAATGAAGCTGCGAGGCTCTAGCACACAAGAGTCACATACAATCGGCATGGTGGACAAGAAGATGAAGAACACGAAACAATCTCGGAAACCCAGTTCCACAATGGCTTTTGATCCCAGGAAAAACTCGCTTTGCATATTCTCCTGGTCCTTGGCCTCAGTCTCCGCGCTGCAGCCCCAATCGAGTGTCCTGGAGCTCGACTACACTGACTGCGATGTCCTCTGGGTCCAGCGCTGCCTCATCGACTCGCCACCCGCGAAGCCGAACACCTGCCGTGTCAACGGCAGGCCCTGAGAGACCTTGGGCCCAGCATTAGGTCGGGCATGTCCACCTACAGGCGGATTTTGGACGAACTATATACATACACACATACGTATATGTGTGTATATAGCAACTCCACAGATATAGAAATAGTGTCGAACAGTAAACGAAAAGTCGTGCCCAGACTACTGCTCGACTATGTTTGACCTTCCCTCCTGTAGAGGGACGGGCCCGACGTAAGCCCACAAGGGGGGGCGCCTGCGACCGCAGGAGCGGGGCCGAAGGCAGGGCGGCCTGCGAGCGCCCCCCGCCCGCGCGGCCCCGACACCCGCCGCCGGAAGCCGCGAGGCCCGGCCACGGAGAGAGCCCCCGGGCAGCTGCGCGCACGCTCTCCGGCCGGGCTTGGAGGCCTGGAAAGGTCGGCAACGCGCAGAGGGGGGTTAGGGGGAGGGGGGAAGGCTTCTATAGAAGCACCCCTGCTTCTTAGGAGGCGCCAGCCTCGTCTGTAGATGTAAGGCCCGCGCCTTCTAAGAAGCAGCCTCCCTCTGAGAAGCCTTCCCCCCTGCCCCTACCCCCTTGTGCGCGCCGCCAAAAAGGGGCACCAGCACCAACACAGGGGGCTGCCTCCACAGGGGGGTAGACGATCCTCGACTTCGGTGCAGGTGGCAAGGTTTCGGCCGCCTCGGAGGCCAGAACAGTACCGCCATCGCCGAGATCGGGATCGTCTTCCCTCGGTGGAGGGGCACCGCCGATTTTGGTGTTGGTGTGAACCTCTAGGCCTGCGACAGAGCTCCTGCTCGACGTGTAGCGGCGGCGGCCCCTGCGACAAGCACTCTTAGGTCGGGCGTGTCCTCCGACAGGTGAATTTGAACCGTGAAATGCAAAAATATGGGAAACCATTGCTCTTCTTGCTCACCCCCCAAAAAAATAAATAAAATCGTCCACCGACTATTTTTTCCTATTTTTGAAGATGCCTCCTGTAGAGGCACGCCCGACTGAACGCTACTGCCTGCAAGTTTGGCCCTGCCGCGCCGCCTCTCGTGGCAAGCCTGTGGCGTGTCGCTCTGCCCTGCGGGACCTGCCGCGCGGTGGGCCCGAACCGGCGGCGCGACCCGCCGACCCAGACCCCGACGCCATGATTTCTCCATGACGCGACCCCCAGGTCTCGACCCCTTCCCCAGGACCAGCTTCTCGTCCGGAGTCGTTTTTTGACGGTCCCGATCAGCGCCCCTCAAACGGGGACTCCACTAACGGGCACTTTGGCCAGTGACCCAGCGAACCCAACCCTTCCCGATGCGGGCAACGCTGCATTGCCAGAAAGAGGCCCTAAACTGGCAACTTTCGGCAAAATTGCAAAGTACCCGTTAGTAAGTACCCGTTGCGGTGCCGTTGACCCGAGGGCCGGCAAGGGCCCCCGGAGGCCGAAAATAGTGTAAAGCCTCCGGTCGTGACTTTTGCCACGACTCGCGGAGCTCAGGGCTGAGCACGCGCTCCCGGCGGCACTCATACGCCGAGCCGGCGCCGAGGAAACTCCCAGGCGCGGCGGGGAGCAGCTCGGCGAGCGGTGCGGCGGGGCGCGCCCGGGCCGCGGGGGCTGGCGCACCGGCGCCGCGCGGGGAGGCGTCATGGGCCAGCGGCGGCGAGGAACTCCCAGACCCCCGATGCCATGATGCTTTCACGGCCCGGCCCCCAGATGGAGCCGGGGCCGAGCGTCCTGTGGCATTTCTGTAATCCTACCGTGAAGTGCGCTCTTCTGCAAAAAAAGCACGATGTTCTTAGAACAGAAGCCCGATGGGTCAAACCAAGAAAGTCTCAACCAGAAATGTTCTAAGAAGATTTCGTGCAGACCTCTGCAGAAGGTTCATAGAACATTCTTTGGTGGAGTTACGCCGTTGTCCCGAGGCCCGGGGAGGCCCCGCCCTTCGAGGCCGGACATGGCGAAGAACCTGGCGCCGCGATGCCTTCACAGCGCGACGGGGTCTGGGCTTGCGGTGGCTCCTCGATGCGTCCTCGCTGGCAAAAAAAATACACGCCCGAGCGATGCCGAGGGCCAGGGGCCACAGACAGCACGCAGCAGAAAGCCTGGCGAGCGCGCGCGCCCGCGCCCAAAGGACCGCCGCCGCTGGCTCTTCCTGGCAGGCTGTGCTGCGCGGTGGCGGAGAGGAGCATGAAGATGCCCAGGGACATGTGTGTTTTGGTTTTTCGTCGGCGGCGAGGCGGAGGCAGTCCGCACCAGCGCGGGGCTAATAGGGGCAACCGATCGGCAAAGTGTCCGGCGTGCAAGAAGGGCGAGAGACGAAGACGAGGGCGGCCGCGCGGGGGAAGGAGGGGGAGGGCGCTCAGACATGGAAAATGTCCGCGTTGAACGGGCCGTAGCTGTCAGCCAGGGCAGCGGGGATCCCGACAGCAGCAGTTCCTGGTCCTTCTGAGCAGGACTCGCTGTCCGCGCCGCCGCGGGCGTTGTTCTTTAAAGACACAGACCCGCCTGTTCGACAGCGGCCGCTGTCGGTTTTCTACAATGTTGTTGGGCATTGTACCCATTTTTTCCGTACCCATTTCGGGCGTCCAAATTTGATCCGCTCCCCGCGGAGGGGGGGGGGTCCCGGGGGATGGTCCCGGGGCGTGGTCCAGGGTCAAAATACCTCCCTCCCAGCGGGCCCTCTCCCTCCCATTTCCGTCGAGGGCCGAGGCCTCCAGGGTCGGCGGCACCGGCCGCAAGGCCTTCGCAATATAGCACTCTGGTCCAGACCCGCGACGCGCGATGCTCTTCGGGCCCACTCGGGCGACCTGCGAAACAGAGGTGGCGTCATGTGCGGCGGCGACAGCGGGGGCGCGCATCCAGAAACCATAATTATGCTTTTCGTCGGGGCATCGTGGGTTTCTTCGCTCCGCGAGCTGCGCGGTGACTTCCCGCAGCCGTTGAAGAAGCTGGTGCGTTCAGGGTGCTGTGGGCTTTGAGGGTCGGGTTCCTTGTGGGGGGTTCTTGCGGCCGCGCCCGCACTGTAGCCATTAATCTCCAACGCAGGACGCAGACTCCACTTCGTCTGCTGTGTCCATGGAAGCTGCAGAGTATGGTCTGCCGCTGGACGTGACCAGTGCGAGCGGTATCGATGCCATGCTGCTCACCACTTGCACTTGAGCGAGGTACGCACCAACCGCTGTGCCCTGGGGACGCGCTCTCCCCTCCCTATACCTCCTCCCCTGGGCCTGGGAGGGGGGGGGGAGGGTAGTTAGATCGCCCAAGATGGCCCAAGATGGGGATCCCAAGATGACCTCCAGGATGGCTCTCAATAGCGCAAGATGGCGCTAGATAGCCTCCGACATACCTCCTAGGGAGGTCCAAAGACAGCGGCAAGACGGTTCCAAGGGCCCTCCGAGCCTTCCAAAGAACCCCCCCCCCAAGATGCCCAAATCCTACAAAGCCTACAAAGACCTGCACGGAACCTATGTGTGTTTGCTTTCCGGTCTTTTCTCTTCCGATGGGCTTGCTGGGCCTCAATATGGCCTCAAGACGCCCCAAGAGAGCCCCACGCCCAAGAGCGCCCTAAGAGCGCCCCCGAAGGGCCCCTAGACGCTATTCTTAAGTCTCCGAAGGGGAGGACCAGAATTGAGGACCCCCCCCCCTTTATTGAGCCACGGGGCGCAAGCTCGCTTCAAAAGGCCTGCGAGACTCCAACGTTGCATGGATGTTGCCGGCGTTTTACATGGCCCACCGCCCTGCAGCGACCCTGCAAAAAAGATACCCTCTTTGATCCCAATTGTCTGAAAAGAGGGGCGCCCCCCCCCATCCCCCCTCGAAAACTCAAAGCTCGTGCCGCGTTCCTCCAACTCCTCCTTTTCCCTCTTTCCTCCTCCTCCTCCTCCTCCTCCTCCTCCTCCTCCTCCTCCACCTCCTCCTACCCCCAAGATGGCCCCAGGAGGTTTTGAGAAGTCTCGTATGACAAATCGCGGGGACATCGACGAAACCGCCGTGGCATGTGGACATCCGTTTAAGTACTAGAAACCCGTTCCCGCTGTTTTCTGCGCCCCCTTCGACACGCATCCAAGGCGGCTTTGTGAACCTCGCACTCTCGCCTCAATTCGAGCTCATGTCTTATGCGGGTACGCACAGCCCTCAGTGGAGGCCTCTCCGAAGCAGCCCACTCATCTGCCGCTTCTTGTCAAAACGGTGGCCAGGAGGAGGCGCCACTCCGTCGTCTGCAAATCCTGCCGCTATTCCTGCTACCACTGCAACTGTCGCTGCTCGCCCCCCCCTCGCTGTCGGAGGGTCCCGCCTTGCAGAACACGCCGCGATCTGGCTGAAGAAGGCCAGGAGGACAAGGAGGAGCACAAGGAGACGGACGAGGAGAAGGACGAGGACGAGGACGAGGAAGACGAGGAGGAGAAGAAGGACGAGGAGCAGGACGAGGAGGAGGAGGAGGAGGAGGAGGAGGTCGAGGAGGAGGAGGAGGAGGAGGAGGAGGAGACGGAGGAGGAGGAGGAGGAGGAGGAGGAGGAGGAGGACGAGGAGGAGACGGAGGAGCACGAGGAGGAGGACGAGGAGGAGAACGAGGAGTTGGAGGACGAAGGGGAGGAGGAGAAGGAGGAGGAGGAGGACGAAGAGGAGGAGGAGGACGAGCAGGACGAGGAGGAGGACGAGGAGGACGAGGAGGAGGCGCCAGGCCGCAGGCGCGGAGGACGAGGAGGAGGAGGAGGAAAAGCATGCGGAAGGGGACGGCCCCGGCCCGCCTGCCGCTGTCTCCTCTGGATGGCGCCGCACAGCAGGTTGAGACCCGTCCTGTCGCTGGCTCGCTCGATGCGGTGGCGATGGTGCGCGCGGAGGGGGCGGCGAGGGGCCCAAGGCCCCCCCGCGCGGTGAAAAGAAACACGACGGGAGGGGTTTCGCCAGGTCTCGGCCCCAGACCGTCACGGACCGACTCGGGATGAAAAGCCGAGTGCCCGGGAATGGGCCCCGACCTCAGGCGGTCGGGTCACGAAAGAATCATGACGTCGGGGGTCTGGGGGGAAGAAGAGGGAGGGGGGCGGAAAGAGCGGACCACGTGAAACTTAGGGGGGAGCAGGGGAGGAGATGGGGGGCAGAGAGGGGAGGGGAGGGGAGGGGGAGGGGGTTGGGAATGCAGGGGAGATGGGGAAGGTGGCGGGCGGAAAGAATGGAACGGGGTAGGGTGGAAAGTTGGGCGGAGGGGGGAAAGAAAGAGGAGAATGAGATGAAGGAGGGTGAGACGGGAGGAGGGAGGAGGGTGATGCGGAAGTGGAGGATATAAGAGGAAGAGAAAGTGGAGGGGGAGGAAGAGGAGGAGGAGAAGGAGGACAAGGAGGAGGAGGAGGAGGAGGAGGAGGAGGAGGAAATGGAGCAGCGCAGGGTAGGAGGGGGTAGGATGGTCGAGGGATGAGGCACGGGGTGGAAGGGAAGAAAGTGTGTGAAGAAGGGTGGGTGAGGCGGGGGGGCGACGGGGGGCAGGGGAGAGACAAGGGAGAGTCGAGAAGGGGGGGGGGGGGCTGGGGCTGGGAGCCGAGGAGGAAAGGCAGCGATGAGAGCAGGAGCGGATGGGGAGACGACGAGTGGAGGACAGAAGGCGGCGAGGGAAAACATGAGCCAGGGCAAGTCGATGAGGAGGGGACCGAGGAGACGGGAAGCAACGGGGAACGGGGCGGAGAGGTGGGCAGGAAATGAGGATAGGCCCACGATCTCCGCCTC